AATATTCAATCAACATTAAGGCTACAAACTAGAAGTCTTTCAAATTCGCCTTGACTCTCTGTCTTACATAATTGCTCTTTTTATTTCTGTTACATTTTTTAAGTTTCGAATTCACATTACAATTTTTTATGTACGAAATCGCTTGCTTATAATATGATCGCTTTAAGCTTGTATTAAACTGTAAATATAACAACTTTCTTTACACTTGTACCTTACATTTTGACTGTTTTAACCCTGTAACCTCCCAGAAGTGATTAACATGAAAATTCTATCTATGATAAACAGACACTATCCAGCAAAAATGTAACGAGAAAATTATCAGTAGAGACTTTTGTCTTGGTCTATTTCCAAATTCTCTATTTTGCAAGGAAGTGCAAAGCAACTGGAGGGGAAAATGAACAGTTTAAGGGTTAAAATTTCTTGTTATTGTCAGGTGCCTTTTGGTCTGTTGAATATTGCCGTAGCAGTTTTGTTAAGCGCAGTATTTCAACAATAACAACTTGCATTAACTCTTGGGAATGATAAAAACTAACAGAGAGCTAGAATTACGCTCATGCATTGGTCTTCCTTAAAACGCTCTTTGAAAAAAATGATACCTAACTTTTCCTAGGTTGCCCTCGTTAAAGTTTATGCCAATTTTCTCTTTCGATCAGGGTCTGCTTTTGTCTCCTATTTTATGATTTCATCAGTTTTTTCCTCAGCAAAGAGAACAACAGAAATCGTTTTACGGCGATACGTGTAGCACTGCTGCGGGTACTGCTGGGATTGCACTTGGCTGCCTTGATCTTGTGGTGTGAATGGATATCAGCTCTCCTTGTGCGTTGGATGTAGGTAAGATGCCTGGCTGACCATGATTGGTGGAGGAAACGACTCGTTCATCCACGACCTGCTGTGAGAACACGTGACCAAAAAGATTTCTAATGTGGTGGCTTAATGGTTTGAGAGTGAGCTTCTGATCAAGAGGTCCTGGCTCTATTCCCTGCCGGGTCATGTGAGTCAATCTCTTAGTTGGTCTTTTCCTCTACCTTAAACTTAACTCTGAACAATAATTTTTGGACTCTAAGCGGTCATGTTGGTATTAAGACGTACCTTCTCCGCATACTTAGTTTACTATGGTGGAGTCCGGTTTTGAATTGTCCTGATTCTCAAAAAGTGAAAAGCGTAGTCAGAGTAGATTTTTGTGGAAAGTTTTGCTTCCTTTCTTAAACTTCTGGTAGAATCTGAGCTTTGAAGACGTTTTAAGTTATCAGGTACAAGTTGTTATCGCCAAGAATCAAACCTTTTTGCTTGAGATTGTCTGTTCCGGGCATTCAGTTTCTAAAACGGAGTGAAATGCTAAACGGCCCTGTATCAGCGGCAGAGAGAAAATGTGGGAGGCTTGGATCGGGCAGTGTTCAATACGTGACCTGACCCAAAACTCTCTCGCTTTTTCACTCCTTCGCTACTATCGTACCGTTTTCTGACGCACTTCGTTTCAGTTACTAAACGCTTGGAACAGGCTAAGATTTAGAAATTTTCGCTACCAACATTTCTCTGTCAGTCAAATTACCTCAGGGTTGTATTCGGTAAGATCTGGCATCTCTAAATCTTGTGGTTCCATCTCAGTGCTGCCAGGAAAATGCAAAAAGCAATAGTTGTTTATTAGCAGATTCGATGGCCTGCGTGAGTAATTGAGTGTAAATGAGCTTATACTCAAGGAACTTAAAGTGTCTACGGGTTCAAAGTTCGACGGCACACACATGTACATTAAGTGTCGATGAACTGTACTCAATGGTGATATTGTTTAATACCAGCAAATGTTCACTCGATTGTTCTTCCGACATTTCTTCGACTCTTGGAACGACGGTCTTCAAGGTCTGCTCCAACGCAGTGACGATGACGTCACTTTCATCTTGACCTTGCACAGTAAAATGCACAGACATTCTTTTGTTGCAGTTGGCAAGAACCATGATTTTTTTTGCATTCATCACATTTCACTAGCAAACTGGCTGAGGCTTGCAAAAGCTTTCTTGAACAGTG